ATGTTCTTTTATGCGTTGAAAATGATGTATGGTTGTTTTGTTCTTTAGTTTGTTCCTCCTACATTGACATTTGTTGGTTTGCTTGACAGGGTCCTATAACATACGGCATATACATACATAGAAAGAAAGAAAGCAATATAGGTTAAACGCAGGGTCCATATCCTTTTGTTCCAAATTATCTGTCCATTTTTTCCTTAGACATGTAAGCTGACAAACGGCAAGCAGAAAATTCAGTACTCGCATGTGCTTGAGCAAGATATATGTGAACCGATACTCATACTGTAGTCTAGCAGCCTCCTTAGTCGAAGGAAGTTTAGAAGTCAAACTTCCCACAATATGGACAGATGAAAAGCAGAGCAGGGAAGAGGCAGAGAGAAGAGAAAGATTAGAAGAAAGAAGAGTAGAAGAGAAAGAGTAAGAAGAAAGAAGATGCAGATGCGTGAAAAGGTAGGAAAGTCGCGAAACACTGTGTTTTTCAAATGATTTGGGGCTCCGGAGGGTCGAAAAGTAGGCTCGCTAAAGCGGCGGGTGCGGAGCCAGCTGGCCAGATGAGAGATGAAAAATTGCACGCCGTTGTGGCGCGAAGCACATTTCCAAGTCAAAATGTGCAAAGCACCTCAGCTTCGGAGTTGCGATGTCGAAAAAGTGCACGCCGTTGTGGCGCGAAGCACATGTCGAAGTCAAAATGTACAAAACACCTCAGCGTCGGACCGCTTTTGGCAGTTGAGATGTCGAAAAAGCGCACGCCGTTGTGGCGCGAAGCACATTTCGAAGTCAAAATGTACAAAACACCTCAGCGTCGGACCGCTTTTGGAAGTTGCGATGTCGAAAAAGTGCACGCCGTTGTGGCGCGAAGCACATTTGGACGTCAAAATGTTAAAAGCACTAGGCGTTCGGACCACTTTTGGAAGTTCAGATCTCGAGAAAGTGTACGCCGTTGTGGCGCGAAGCACATTTTGAAGTCAAAATGTTAAAACACTAGGGGTTCGGACCACTTTTGGAGGCTCAGATGTCGTTTCGCTTCGCTTCGCTTCACTACACTACATTACACTACGCTACACTCCACTACACTACACTACATTACACTACACTACACTCCACTACACTACAACTACAACTACACAACTACACTCCACTACACTCCACTACACTCCACTACACTACATTCCACTACACTACACTACATTACACTACACTACACTACACTACCTTCCACTACACTTCACTACACTCCACTACACTCCACTACACTACAACTACACAACTACACAACTACACTCCACTACACTCCACTACACTCCACTACACTCCACTACACTCCACTACACTCCACTACACTCCACTACACTACCTTACACTACACTACACTCCACTACATTACACTACACTACACTACCTTCCACTACACTTCACTTCACTACATTACACTACACTACACTCCACTACACTACAACTACACAACTACACAACTACACAACTACACTCCACTACACTCCTCCACTACACTACAACTACAACTAGACAACTACACCCCACTACACTCCACTACACTCCACTACACTAAATTGCACTACACTACATTACACTACACTACACTCCACTACACTACACTACATTACACTACACTACACTACCTTCCACTACACTTCACTACATTACACTACACTACACTCCACTACACTACAACTACAACTACAACTACACAACTACACTCCACTACACTAAATTAGACTACACTACACTACATTACACGACACTACACTAGATTACGCTACACTACACCACGCCACACTACATTACACTACACTACATTACACTCAATGACACTGCACCACAGATAGACAGGTAGACAGCCAGACAGATGAAGGAGAGAGAGAGAGAGAGATAGATAGAGAGAGAGAGATAGATAGAGAGATAGATAGATAGATAGATAGATAGATAGATAGGTAATCAGATGAAAGAGAGAGATAGATAGATAGATAGATAGATAGATAGAGATAGATAGACAGATAGATAGATAGATGGATAGACAGATAGATAGATAGATAGATAGATAGATAGTAATTAGATGAAAGAGAGAGAGAGAGATAGATTGATAGATAGATAGATAGATAGATACATAGATAGATAGGTAGGTAGGTAGGTAGATAGTCAGAGAAAGAGAGAGAAAGAGAGAGAAAGAGAGGAGACCTCAAGCACCTTTCGGTCCATCAGTGGCTTCGCTCTGCCATCTCTGATTCACAACAACCAACCTCTCCTATAGGTTTCCTATTTTTGAAACTTCCGCCACCGCCTTGTGCGGTACTACTGGTAACAGGCATGATTGATGCATTCTATGGGCTTATAGCCTCCTTAGACTTTCCTTGATTGGTTTGTCTTTTCCTTGGATTTTCTTTCCTTTGTTTCTTCCTTGGAAACCAGAGGAAAACAAAGGAAACCAAAGGAAAACCATAGAATCCACCCAGCCCCAGACCAAAGGAAACCAAAGGAAAGCAAAGGAAACCAAAGGAATCCAAAGGAAACCAAAGGAAATCAAAGGATACCAAAGGAAAAAAATATAATCCAAGAAGAACTGGTTTTAGCATATTTTAGCTAGTTCTGTTGTGTTTCTTTGTTGTTTTTTTTTGGTTTCCTCCCAAAAATACAAGCTGTATTTTGGTACATCCCATGTGTTGGAAAGGCGGACAACGTGATGTGATGTGATCCGCTGCAATGTGACGTGATCTGATGTAATGTAATGTAATGTAATGTAATGTGATGAGACCTCCTGTGATGCACTGTGATGCCATGCAATGCCACATGAAGAAGATGGTTCAATGAGATGTAAAGTGATGTGAAGTGATGTGATGTAAAGTGATTGATTGTGATGTATTGTCATGTGATGTGCTGTGATGTAGTGTGATGCGATGTGATGTGACGTAATGTGATGTGATGTGATGGGATGTAATGTGATGTGTTGTGCTGTGATGTAATGTGATGCGATGTGATGTGATGTAAAGTGATGCGATGTGATGCTTTGTGATGTGATGTAATGTGATGCGATGTGATGTAATGTGATGTGATGTAATGTGATGCGATGTGATGTTTTGTGATGTGATGTGATGTCATGTGATGATCTGTGCTGTGATGTAATGTGATGTGATTTGATGCGATGTGATGTGATGTAGTGTGATGCGATGTGATGCTATGTGATGTAATGTGATGTGTTGTGACGCCATGTCATGTGATGTAGTGTGATGCGATGTGATGCTGTGTGATGTGAGATGATGTGATGTAATGTGATGCGATGTGATGTGATGTAGTGTGATGTGATGTGTTGTAATGTGATGTGATGTTTTGTAATGTGATAAGATGTCGTGTGATGCAATGTGATGCGATGTGATGTGATGTTTTGTGATGTGATGTGAGGTCATGTGATGTGATGTCATGTTTTGTGATGTGATGTGATGTAATGCGATGTGATGGTTTGTAATGTGCCGTGATGTGATGTGATGCGATGTTTTGCAATGTGATGTGATTTGATGCGATGTGATGTTTTGCGATGTGATGTGATGTCCTGTGACTCGATGTAATGTCATGTTTTGTGATGTGATGTAATGCGATGTGATGTAATGTAATGTGATGTGATGTGAGTTGATGCGATGTAATGTGATGCGATGTGATGTGATGTGATGTGGTGTGATGTAATGTGATGTGATGCGATGTGATGTGATGTAATGTGATGCGATGTGATGTTTTGTACTGTGATGTGATCTGATGCGATGTAATGTGATGCGATGTGATGCAATGTAATGCGATGTGATGTCATGTGATGTAATTTGATGCGACGTGATGCGATGTGATATGATGTGATGTGATGTAATGTGATGCGATGTGATGTAATGTAAAGCGATGTAATGTGATGTGATGCGATGTGATGTGATGTAATGTGATGCGATTTAATGTCATGTGATGTGATGCGATGTGATGTGATGCAGTGTGATGTGATGTGTTGTGATGTGATGTGATTTGATGTAATGTGGTGTGATGTGGCGTAATGTGATGCAGTGTGATGTAATGTGATGTGGTGTGATGTACTGTGATGCGATGTAATGTGATGTGATGTAATGTGATGTTATGTGATGTAATGTGATGTTTGGTAATGTGATGTGATGTAATGTGATGTGATGCGATGTGATGTAATGTTTTGTAATGTGATATGATGTGATGTTTTGTAATGTGATGTAATGTGATGCGATGTGATGTGATGTTTTGCGATGTGATGTGATGTCATGTGATGCGATGAAATGTCATGTTTTGTGATTTGATGTGATGTGATGTAATGCGATGTGATGTAATGTAATGTGATGTGATGTGATGTTTTACAATGTGTTGTGATGTGTTGTGATGCGATGTGATGTGATGTGATGCGATGTTTTGTAATGTGATGCGGTGTGCTATGATGCAATGTGATGTGATGTGATGCGATGTGATGTGATGTAGTGTGATGCGATGTGATGCATTGTGATGTTTTGTAATGTGATGTGATGTTTTGTAATACGATGTGATGTGATGTGTGCATGCGAGTCTGTGTATGTGTATTTTTATTTTTTTTTATCACTTTTTGTTTGTGCCGGGAACTGAGGCTTTGGCCAAGAAAAAACGTGAGGTCATTGACAAACACGGGGTTGAGGCCAAGACCCTGCAGCCTGAAACCTCCAACAGAATTAATGCAGGATGTTTCCAAGTGTTCCGCACGGGCCCAAACTAGGGTCCGGTTGACCTACAGATGTGCTGCCACAGCCTTTCCAGTGGGAAAATGCAGGAAAAATAATGCCAACCGACCACAGCAGGTACTTCTTTGAAACTTGTGCAGAGACGGTTTTCTGTGGTTCAAAACATGTTTTCCACCGTGCATTTGATTTGTGCATTTTCAGGTTGAACGGTGCTGTGATGTTCGGTTTTAGTGCGGGATTTCGAAAATGACAGAGGGCTCCAACACAGCAGGGGTCAGGACCGTCATGGTTCCGCACACAAACGAACGAACATCGAGGAATATTATGCCTGACGTGAGTACCAGTGAAGATTCCAATAAGATTCTGAAACAGGTTTCTGCAACGTCCCTGGCACTCATCCGATCAGGTCCGAGTGTACTAGGTGGTTCTTGATAAGCTTGATATTTTTTATTTTTCATTTCATATTTTACCACATCCTTCTCTATCATTTTGACGACTTTGACACTAATGATACCACAATTTTTGTGGAACAAATTCTCTTTCCCCAGCTTTGGGAGGCCAGTGAGGCCTTGGACCACGAGGAGGTTCAACCTTTTTTGCAACGCCTCAAGGAGTGGCTTTGGGATCCATCCACATAAATTGAAGCCCACGCTAAATTGTCACTAAATATTGTATATGTATATAATACGGTCATCAAGCATAGAATATATTCAGAAAATTCAACTTCTATATGAATTGCACGGTCTATGTACCTCCAGAACAGATAATATAGAAGATAATATGTAAAACGGGCTCCAAGGAAGACCAGCATCACCATCCGGAACCCAGAACAGAGACAACTCTTGCAACAACAAATTGAAATATTCTTCAATATCTTCTATTTGAATTGGATTTGAAAGTGGTCTACTTCTATATGGTTTGGACTTCTATGTGTTCGGAATTGGTGCTAATTGATGGCTTGTTCAACTTCGAAACGGTTGTCCTGGAATTGGTTTTCCTCTTGTTTAGTGTAATCGTGTAATCTTCAGAGTTGGACATGGTATCCTGGACCTTGTGGCTCATGTATGAGGAGGTGGTATGATGTGGCACATGAATACACCATGCAATGTGAGACATATGAACTAGTAGCAGTGCCACTGGCAAACACACCACACACTCTGTATGTATATACATATGTATGTATGTAATGCAATGTAATGTAACATGTAATGTAAAATGTAATGTAAAATGCAATGTAAAATGTAATGTAAAATGTAATGTAAAATGTAATGTAAAATGTAATGTAAAATGTAATGTAAAATGTAATGTAAAATGTAATGTAAAATGTAATGTAAATGTAATGTAAAATGTAATGTAAAATGTAATGTAAAATGTATTGTAAAATGTATTGTAAAATGTAATGTAAAATGTAATGTAAAATGTAATGTAATGTAAAATGTAATGTAAAATGTAATGTAAAATGTAATGTAAAATGTAATGTAAAATGTACATAATTGTAAAATGTACTTGTAAAATGTAATTGTAAAACGTAATGTAAAACGTAATGTAAAACGTAATGTAAAACATATTGTAAAACATAATGTAAAACGTAATGTAAAACGTAATGTAAAACGTAATGTAAAATGTAATGCAAAATGTAATGTAACATGTAATGCAAAATGTAATGTAATGTGTAATGTAATGAATGTAATGTAAAATGTAATGTAAAATGTAATGTAAAATGTAATGTAAAGTGTAATGTAAAGTGTAATGTAATGTGTAATGTAATGTGTAATGTAATGCGTAATGTATAATGTAATGTACAATGAATTGTATAGTGTAATGTATAATGTAGTAATGTAAAATGTAGTGTATAATGTAATGTATAATGTATAATGTATAATGTATAATGTATAATGCATAATGCATAATGTATAATGTATAATGTATAATGTATAATGCATAATGTATAATGCATAATGTATAATGTATAATGTAATGGTATGTAATGGTATGTAATGGTATGTAATGGTATGTAATGGTATGTAATGGTATGTAATGGTATGTAATGATATGTGATGATATGTGATGGTATGTAATGGTATGGAATGGTATGTACTGGTATGCAATGGTATGTAATGGTATGTAATGGTATGTAATGGTATGTAATGGTATGTAATGGTATGTAATGGTATGTAATGGTATGTAATGGTATGGAATGGTATGTAATGGTATGTAATGGTATGTAATGGTATGTAATTGTATGTAATTGTATGTAATGGAATGTAATGGAATGTAATGAAATGTAATGGAATGTAATGGTATGTAATTGTATGTAATGGTATGTAATTGTATGTACTTGTATGTACTTGTATGTACTTGTATGTACTTGTATGTACTTGTATGTACTTGTATGTACTTGTATGTAATTGTATGTAATTGTATGTAATTTTATGTAATTGTATGTAATTGTATGTAATTGTATGTAATTGTATGTAATTGTTTGTAATTGTATGTAATTGTATGTAATTGTATGTAATTGTATGTAATTGTATGTAATTGTATGTAATTGTATGTAATTGTATGTAATTGTATGTAATTGTATGTATGTATGTATGTATGTAATTGTATGTAATTGTATGTATGTAATTGTATGTAATTGTAATGTATGTATGTTAGTAATGTATGTACGTATGTAGGTATGTAGGTATGTAGGCATGTAGGTATGTAGGTATGTAGGTATGTAGGTAGGTCTGTAGGTATGTATGTATGTATGTATGCATGCATGTATGTATGTATGTATGGAATGTATGGAATGTATGGAATGAATGTAATGTATGTAATGCATGTCTGTCTGTTTGTCTGTCTGTCTGTATGTATGTATGTATGTAAGTATGGTAGTATGGTAGTATGGTATGGTATGTATGTATGGCATGGTATGTATGTATGGTATGTTATGGTATGTATGTATGGTATATATGTATAGTATGGTATGTATGTAATGTGTGTAACAACTGTAATGTATGTGATGTATGTAATGTATGTAATGTATGTAATGTATGTAATGTATGTAATGTATGTAGCGTATGTAAAGTATGTATGTAATGTATGTAATGTGATGTAATGTAATGGAATGGAATGGAATGTAATGGTATGTAATGTAATGGTATGTACTGAAATGGTATGTATGTATGTATGGATGGATGGATGGATGTATGTATGGATATATGTATGTATGTATTTATGCATGCATGTATGTATGTATGCATGTATGCATGTATGGATGGATGTATGTTATGTATGTGGTGTATGTTATGTATGTTATGTATGGTATGTGTGTTATGTATGTTATGCATGTTATGTATGTTATGTATGTTATGTATGTTATGTATGTATGTATGTATGTATGTATTAATGTATGTATGTAATGTATGTATGTATGTATGTATGTGTGTGTGTATGTATGTATGTGTGTGTGTATGTATGTATGTATGTATGTATGTGTGTATGTGTGTATGTGTGTATGTGTGTATGTGTGTATGTGTGTATGTGTGTATGTGTGTATGTGTGTATGTGTGTATGTGTGTATGTGTGTATGTATGTATGTATGTATGTATGTATGTATGTATGTATGTATGTATGTATGTATGTATGTTATGTATGTAATGTAATGTAATGTAATGTTAAGTAATGTAAAATAATGTAATGTAACGTAATGTATTGTGATGTAATGTAATGTAATGTATGTGTATATGTGTGTGTCTGTGTATTTATGTATATAATGTAATGTAAATGTATTGTGATGTAATGTAATGTAATGTATGTGTATATGTGTGTGTCTGTGTATTTATGTATATAATGTAATGTAAGGTTTGGATGTATGTAATGTGATGTGATGTGATGTGATGTTATGTAATGTAATGTAATGTTGTGTAATGTGATGTAATGTAATGTAATGTTATGTAATGTTATGTTATGTAATGCCATGCAATGCAATGCAATGTAATGCAATGCAGTAATGCAATGATGCAATGCAATGTAATGCAATAGAGTAATGCAATAATGCAATGTAATGCAATGCAATGGTATGTCTTGGTATGTCTTGGTATGTATGTATGTATATATGCATGGATGCATGCATGCATGGATGGATGGATGTATGCATGGATGTATGTATGTATGGTATGGTATGGTATGGCATGGCATGGCATGGTATGGTGTGTATGTATGTATGTAAGTAATGCATGCATGTATGGATGGATGGATGGATGGGATGTAATGTAATGTAATGTAATATAATGTAATGTAATGTAATGTATGTATGTAATGTATGTATCGTATTGTATTTTAATGCCATGCAATGTAATGTGTGTATGTAATGTATGTAATGTATGTAATGTATGTAATGTAAGTAATTTATGTAATATATGTATGATTCATTGTATTGTATTGTATTTTGATGTAATGTAATGTAATGTAATCATGTATGTAATGTATGCAATGTATGTAATGCATGTAATGCATGTAATTTATGCAATGTATGTATGAATGTATGTATGTATGTATGAATGAATGTAGGCATGGTAGTATGGTATGGTATGTATGTATGTATGGTATGGTATGTATGTATGGTATGGTATGTATGTAATGTATGGTATGAATGTAATGTATGGTATATGGTATGTATGTAATGTATGTAATGTATGTAATGTATGTAATGTATTCAATGTATGTAATGTATGTATGTATGTAATGTATGTAATGTAAGTAATGTATGAAATGTATGTAATGTATGTATGTACTGTATGTTTGTATGTTTGTATGTTTGTAATGTAATGTAATGTAACGTAACGTAACGTAATGTAATGTAATGTAATGTATGTAACATATGTATGTAATGTAATGTGATGAAATGTAATGTAATGTAAAGTAATGTAAAGTAATGGAAAGTAATGTAAAGGAATGTAAAGTAATGTAATGGTATGTATGTATGTATGTATGTATGTATGTATGTATGTATGCAATGGTATGTATGTATGTATGTATGCATGTATGTATGCAATGGTATGTATGTATGTATGTATGTATGTATGTATGTATGTATGTATTGGTATGTATGCAATGGTATGTATGTCATGGTATGTATGTAATGGTCTGTATGTAATGGTATGTATGTAATGGTATGTATGTGATGGTATGCATGTAATGGTATGTATGTAATGGTATGTATGTAATGGTATGTATGTAATGGTATGTATGTAATGCTATGTATGTCATGGTATGTATGTAATGGTCTGTATGTAATGGTATGTATGTAACGGTATGTATGTAATGGTATGTATGTGATGGTATTTATGTAATGGTATTCATGTAATGGTATGTATGTAATGGTATGTATGTAATGGTATGTATGTAATGGTATGTATGTAATGGTATGTAACGCTATGTAATGTAATCTAATGCAATGAAATGTAATGAATCTACTGTACTGTACTGTACTGTAATGTAATGTAATGTATCTATGTATGTGATGTTTTATAATGTGTTGTAATGTTTGTAATGCTTTGTAATGTTTTGTAATGTTTTTTAATGTTTTGTAATGTTTTGTAATGTTTTTTAATGTTTTGTAATGTTTTGTAATGTTTTGCAATGTTTTGTACTTTTTTAATGTCTTGTAATGTTATGTAATGTTATGTAATGTTTTGTAATGTTGTGTCATGTATTGTTTTGGCTTGTAATGTTAGGTAATGCTTTGTAATGTTTTGTAATGTTGTGTAATGTTCTGTAATGTAACGTAATGCTTTGTAACCTTTTGTAATGTTTTGTAATGTGTGTAATGTTATGTAATGTTATGTAATGTTTTGTAGTGTAATGTAATGTTATGTATGTAATGTAATGTAATGTTATGTTATGTTATGTTTTGTTATGTTATGTTATGTATGGTATGTATGGTATGTATGGTATGTATGGTATGTATGGTATGTATGGTATGTATGGTATGTGATGAACTTCACATATCCTCAGAATGAGGCCCAAGAGTAGGAAAAGGTGTGCCGCGCTCATATCATTCCATCATGGTAGCGTGAGCGGCCTGGTGGCGAGACAGGACAACCGGAAGCACGTGTTCGTGGGGCCTGCGGCTTCGAGGTGGACAAGGTGCAGACTGGTCCTGGTCTACTTCCTGGGCATCCTCTCGGCCTTTGTGGCGCTGGAGCTCATGGCGACTGGCTCTCCGGGTGTGCAGATACCGGAGCAGACCTTGACGGAGATGCAGGCTCAGATGCAGCTCCAACAGGAGATGCTGCTGCGCCAACAAGCGCAGATGACTGATTTAGCTGCGCAGCTCCAGCAGGCGGAGCAGCGAGTCCAGCAGGCCGAGGAGGAGAGACTGATGGCCCTGAGGTTGGCGGCCAACGCAACTAGGACCGACCTCGTGGACACGAAGGGGGTCGGGCAGCCATTCAAGTTCAGTGGCAAGAGCGACCAGGATTATGGAGAATGGGTCCACAAGTTCAAGACCTTTGTCCGGGCGAAGTTCGGTGTGGAGGTTGACTCTGTCTTGGCATGGGCTTCGAAGCAGCGGAAGATCATCGTCAAGGTGCAGAGCAGTGACCCTATGAGGACAGTGAGTTGGGACGAGGAGCTCGGCAGTGCAGCAGATGCCATCTCTTAGGTGGCCAACATTGACGAGATGGTGGCGGGACTTCTGGCCTATTTGGTCTCCTTCACCACGGGCGAGGCCAACAAGGTTGTTCGCAACAGTGGAACAGATGGATTGGAGGCTTGGAGAAGGCTCAGCAACGACTACGACCCCAGCAGTGTGATGAGAAGGGTGACAATCCTCAGAATCCACCGCGTTGCCAAAGCATTGAGGAGCTCGGCAGCTGCTTGGAGAACTGGCTATCGAAGAAGAGGCAGTATGAGGAGTTTTCAGATGCAGATGGGGTCCCTTGCAAGGTGTCAGATGATTCCTTGATGGCTGCTCTTTTTCAGCTGATGCCTTCTTCGCTTGAGGAGACGGTCATGTTCAAGTCGGACGCGTTTGCCACGTTCGACGCCTTGTTCGACAGGTTGAGCTCTTTTGCAACGACCCGTCACAGATCAGATTTCCAAGAGAGACATCGGTTCAGGAGGAGCCCACAAGAAGAGAGATCCAGATGCTATGGATGTGAGCGTCTTGAGCAAGGCCAAGGGCAAGGGCCAGGGTTCCAACAAGATCCCAACGTGCTACAAGTGCAACAAGCCGGGTCACAAAGGTGCAGAATGTCGGACTGGTTTTCAGCAGAAGGCCTCGGGCAAAGGCAAGGGCAACTCTCGGTTGGATAGCATTCAATGTTGGGTTTGCAACAATACGGCAAAGATTGCTACAGCAACGAGAACAAGGGCAAGAACAAGGGTAAGTCGAAAGACAAGTCCAAGGACAAGGTCAAGAACAAGTCTGGTGGCAAGGGCGCCAATTCCGTGGAGTACGGTGAGGAGCAATAACCTGAGAAAGAACCCGGAGGAGATCTTGGTCCTTTGGACCTATATCCTCTTAGTTGTGGAGAAGAAGCTTTGAGTGGGGTTGGCTCGACGGTGCCAACTGAGCGCATGAGCCCGGTCACTGACACGGAGAGCGAGGATCGGAAGCCCTACGAGCACTATGTCAACAGCGAGAAGTGGTTCAATCTCAACTACGATTCTGGTGCAGTTTCAACAGTTGTCCCAGTCTAGATGAGCGAGGACGACGTTAAGCTTCATCGAGTTGGAGATTTCCGAGTTGCCAATGGCGAGAAGATCCCCAGGTACCAGAAGGTCAAAGTTGACTGCAAGGATGAGAAGGATAAGAGGAGATCTTTCACGGCTACAGTGACTCATGTCCACAAGCCTTTGGGTTCGGCAGCAGTATTTTCGAGAACGCATAATGCCTACATCTTTGATGAGGGCGGCTATCTGATTCCCAAAGTGAGCATCGTGGCCAAGAAGATGCGAGAGTACTACAACAAGCTGGTGCAGCAGCATGGATCATCAACCCATCTTCCTCTTCATCGTGAAGGCAATCTCTACAACATTTGGTTGAAGCAGGATGGGCCGTCACATGAGCTGGTGGCGCTGGAGTCCTTCGACTGAGTCTGAGCGATCGAGGTCGCCTTTCAGCCGGCAGGGATCAAGGAAGAGCCCGTAAGTCCGTTGATGGCAGTTGGTGAGGAGGAGGCAGCAGTTCGAGAAGGAGAACCAGGGCAACAGAGATGGGTTGGATGGAGCAATGCCGGAGTTTCCGATCGTCCAGCAGATGCTCAAGGTGGACCATGACGATGACGCCATGGTGGACTTCAGAAATATCCTGAATGGACTGGGATGAAATCACCTCCCAGGCCACCTTCAGTCCCTCCAGAGGCACTTTGCTGGGTGAGGGTAGATGCTGATTGCCACATGCTGGTGCTGACCGGCAATGGTGGTCCGAGGTGGTCGGCAGTGATCTACAGGTCCACCTACAACCAGGACACTGGTGAATTAGTGCATGAAGAGGCAATTGTTCCCGGAACGCCTCAAGAACATTTGCATCGGTTGATTGACAAGACCGACCGGATGGAGACCCACCTTTGGTACATCCCGGATCCCATCGAGGTTGGCAATGTGGTTGCGCTCAAGAAGATGGTGCAGCCTTCGAAGTCGCAAATTCGAGAGCATGAGCTGCAGAACCATGCTGTGTTCGTGACTGGTGCAAGGTTTGCATTGAAGCTCGTGCTACTGGTTCCAAGCACAAGAAGAAGACTCCAGAACAACGTGCAGAGCAAGGGGCATCGATCCATTCAGACTTTTTCTTCATGGAGCAGGCCACGTTCTTGGCAATCAAAAGTTGTCCCAGCGGAAGGCTACATGCAGTGGCTTTGCCGTCCAAAGAGAACACCGAGTACGTCCAGAAGGTCTTCCAGAGGTTCATTGAGGAGTTGGGGCACAAGAGGTTCATCAACTTTTCAGACAATGAGCCATCCATTTTGGCATTCAAGGAGTCGGTCACTCAACGTCTCAAAGGATGTGATGCGATTCCACGTTCCTGTCCTGTTGGAGATCATGCAGCCAACGGGGTGATTGAAGTTGGAGTTCGAGAGCTGAAGCGCCAGATGCGCGCGATCAGGTTCAGCCTGGAGAGCAAGCTGGGGAGTTCCATACCCAACGATCATGCCATTTTGGCGTGGTTGCCCAGCCAACATCTTCAGAGCTGATGCGTCAGGGAAGACGCCCTATGAGCGGGAGTTCGGCCGCAAGTGGAATCGGCCGGCTTTGGAGTTTGGAGAGCTGGTCTACATCAGAGAGGCTGAGGAGAGGACCGGCAAGAAAGATTGGCAGGAGAGACTGACCAAGGTGCGGTTTGTCGGGCATCATTCACGGACCAATGCAGTTTGGGCTTGGCAGCCGATGGTCTTCATGTTGGAAGTGCAGTGAAAAGATTGTTAGAGGACGATCGTTGGAGCCGAGATGGGCTCGAGGACATCGGAGCCTTGCCCTGGGATTTGAAGTCGAGGGCATCTCAGGATGCTGGGACGAGGTTGGTGGAGCAGGCTGAGAAGAGGGTTCGCCTTCCACCTCCACTTCCAGAAACGCCTGATGCCAGGGGATTCTATGTGACCAAGAAGGACATCAGTGACCATGGCTACACAGCTGGTTGCCGAGGATGTGATGCAGTGCGGGCTGGCCGCACTCCAGTGGCCCACAGTGAGGCCTGTCGCAAAAGGATCATTGGCTTGGTTGACGAGTCCAGGGTGAAGAAGCATGCAGAGAGGGTTCAGTCAAGGTATGAACTTCGTGAGGAGCATGAAGCCAAGAAGGCGAAGTTGGAGGATGCTGCAAGTCCGAGAGCCGTGCAGCAAGTGAGCCACAGGCGATTGAAAGTTCGCCTGCTGGAGTCAAGCGATCTGAGGAGGCTATGAGCCCTACATTCATCGTCTTCACCGAAGAGATGGAGAACAGAGGGGCACATGAGGTACAAGAGAGAGGCTGAGGTTCCAGCAGAGGCTTTGGACCCTCGAGCTGCAGGAGATCCGGCAGCTGAGGCCAGTGGAGAGTCTTTGAGCTTGCCGGCGACGGCAGAAGTTGTGGTGCAGCCAGCATATTCTACGGTTGAGGATGTCTTGGCTCGTGGTGGAGACGGGCCTTCATCAAGTTCAGCAGGAGCTCGAGATGTTCCAGATGCGTCGAGCTTGGAGTTCATCGGCCTGGAGGACTGTGAGGTCAGCATGAGCCAGGGCAAGTGGCATGAGGTCAACGCTTTGGAGAGAGTTCAGAGGATGATTGAAGCCAAGAAGGTTGAGATCGGCAACTCTCCCGATTGGAAAGTTGATGTGGCGGAAATCTTCAGTCCGCCGAGGTTCACTCAACATGCTGGCCGGCTTGGATTGAAGCCGGGATTTGCCATAGACCTTTCTACCGGCTGGGGTCTTGATCGGCCGGAGGATGTCATCAAGATGGACAAGATGATTGAGGAGCAGCCGCCGCTTTTGCTCACTGGGGGTTTTGACTGCGCTCCCTTCAGAGTTCTGAGGAACATCAACAGGAGCTACCTCAACACCAAGGAGAATGTGGAGAAGCGGCAGAAGGGTGAGAACCATTTGAGTCTTTGCATTGAGAGGTACCGCAGGCAGATCAAGAAGAAAAGGTACTTCTTGCACGAGCATCCAGCTGGTGCTGACAGCTGGGATGAGGAGGAAATTCAACGTCTTCAACAAGAACCAGATGTTTTCACAGTAGCTGGCCCGATGTGTGCATGGGGCATGACCATCCATGCCAAGCGGAAAGGGAGTGAGTTGGTCTACAAGGACACCAAGTGGGTGACCAACTCGCCGGAGATCGCAGAAGTTCTGGATCAACATTGTCGCAATAGACGTGGAGGTCCTATCCACCGCCATGTGGCACTCATTGGCGGGCTGGCAAAACTTGCAGAAGCATACCCAGATGAGCTCGTCGTCTCGGTCTTGGAGGGCTTGAGGCGGCAGATGAAAGCTGATGGATCATTGAGCTCCATCGAGATGTATGCGAGCGGACCTGATCCCACGGAGCATCTATTTCCTGAAGAAAGTCATCAAGCTGTCGACGAGGAGCTGGAAAAGTACTACGATGTCATCAGTGGTGAAGAGCTTCCAGCCAACTTGGTCAGAGATGCAAGGCAGGAACGGAAGGGATCAGATACAGTGGATCAACAAAATCGGCCTTTACACCAAAGTGCCGAGGTCAGTGGCTCAGCAAAGGGGAAAGACAGTGCTTCCTGTGCGCTGGGTCGATGTCAACAAAGGAGATCGATCCCGAATGAAGTTGAGAAGTCGAATTGTTGAAAAAGAGCTCAAGGCACGTACCAAGGAATCACTCTTGGCACATGAGTTGTTCAGTGCAACCCCTCCATGGGAGCTTGTCAAGTCCCTGTTCAGCCTTCTTGTCACCGACCTTCCTCAACATGTCGGTGGCGGCCACGAGATGTGCATTGGGGTGTTCGACATCAGCAGGGCGCATTTCATGCCGAAGTGCCAGCGGGAGTTCTATGTGGAGATCCCTGCAGAAGATCGTGGTCCTGGAGAAGAAGACTATGTTGGTCGATTGAATCGTGGGATGTATGGATTTCGAGATGCCAGCAATGCATGGATGAAAGATTGGCAAGAGCTACTTGCAGAAGGTGGAAATCAAGTTGGAGTGGCCAATCCGGCTTTGTTCTTTAACGAGGCCGAGTTCCCTCGAGATGCAGTTCATGGAGATGATTTCTACGTTTTGGGGCCCGTGGCAGCCATTGACAAGATGAAGGAGCTGCTGGGTTCCAAGTACCAGATGCGGGAGTCACATCGCCTTGGATTCACAGATGGATGTGTCCGTGTGGCAACAGTGCTGAATCGGATAGTCACTTTGGGCTTTGAAGATGGACGACGCTTTGTCCAGATCGAACCAGATCGTCGTCATGTGGAGCTGATCGTGGAGGCAGTTGGAACGAAGTTGGATGGGTCGAATGGTGTCACCACACCTTCCGTTCGACAGACAGATGCTTCAGCTGATTCTTTGAAGAGTTCTCCGTTGCTTGGTGCTGCGGATGCTAGCCGATACAGGTCAGCGGTGATGAGAGCCAGTTTTCTTTCACAGGAGAGAGCAGACATTGCAGAGACGGTCAAGAGGTTGGCTCAGGGGATGTCTTCACCTCGCCTTGGACATTGGGAGCTTTTGAAGAGGCTTGCGATGTTCCTCATTTACAAGCCGGACAAGAGTTTTGTTTTTCGTCAGCAATCAATGCCAGATGCACTTCAGATCTATGTCGACTCAGACTTCGCCGGAAGTCGCACAGACCGAAAGTCTACGACTGGAATGGTTCAGACTTTTGGTACCCACATGATCAAGGCTTCGAGCAATTTGCAGAGTGTGGTGGGACTGAACGTCTCAGAGTCGGAGTTTTACGCTCTGGTCCATGGTGCTTCACACGGGCTAGGGTTGCAGGCCTACTTCCTCGACATCGGCATCAAGGTGGGCCTGGTGATTCTTTCCGATTCAACCTCTGCAAAGAGCTTTGCGAGCAGACGTGGGCTTGGAAAGCAGCGGCATGTGATGACGCGCTTTCTTTTGTTGCAACAAGTGGTTGCAGCTGAGCGGGTTTGTGTGAAGAAAGTTCACACGAGCCACAACTGCTCAGATGTGTTAACAAACACACTGATGCGAAGCTTTTAGAAAAGCATTGTGCCAACATGGGGTTAGTGGAGCCAAAGCCATCGAAATTGCAGAAAACTATTAATGATCCAGGCTCCACTACCTTTTTGGTGCAATGGATGTGCAGCGTTCATAAATGTGAACGCAGCACAAGGAGGAGTGATGAACTTCACATATCCTCAGAATGAGGCCCGGGAGTAGGAAAAGGTGTGCCGCGCTCATATCACTCCATCAGTATGTATGGTATTTATGGTATGTATGGTATGTACGGTATGTATGGTATGTATGGTATGTATGGTATGTATGGTATGTATGGTATGTATGTAATGTAAATGTAATGTAATGCAATGCAATGCAGTGCAATGCAATGCAATGTAATGTACTGTAATGCAATGTCTGTAGGTTTGTCTGTCTGTCTGCCTGTACGTATGTATGTATGTACATGCGGTCTATGCATTGAAAAACGCATCTGCATTATGACAGTAAATTGTAGTATGATATTATCTTAAATTACATCAGTTATATTATTCAATATCAAACTGAATTCTAATCTAGTATCTTATTTGATGCAATATTTAAGGACATGCTTATCCATTTTACAATGTAATACAATATTATATGTTCTTTTGCTACAATATATGATATGAAATGATATGATATCATATCATTTTGAATAGACATCTGCAATATCATACATTACGACATACTATATTATATGAGCTTACATTGGATTTTATTATATCATATCTTATCATATCATATTATGGTATGTCTTTTAAAATCATATTACAATATATTATTTTATATCATATTAAATGAGGTCATATTGTATTTTATTATTTTATATTACATGAAATTATTTGTCGTTATGTTTTGTTTCCTTGCGTCGTATAAGTTCATAGTATCTCATTCCATATTAAATCGTAGTAATCGCATCTTATCATTCCATATCATATATTATATTTTTCTTACCGATTTATTTAATTATGTTTCTTTTTAAATTATTCTTTTATATCACATTGATATCTTACATATTTTAACTTTACGTGTAGATAAACACAATATACAAATACAATATATATATATATATATTATATACATACACATAGATTTTATAGAAGGTATTTTTGGTCAAGTATATATGTATATATAAAGATAGATATTGTAATATTTACATGGTACATATATTATTATTATTATCATTATTATTATTATTATATATATACACGCTATATTCCAATTATTCTATATCAAAGTGACAACCCACAGACTTGTCGGGTCCTTTCGCCCAGCGACTTGCACGGCAGAACCAAAAAGACCACTGAATCCAGAGCATCAGAAGTATGCGGTTTTGTATGTTCTCAACACTTGTGGACTCTAGAGAGCTTAAAACTTTTGGAGTCTCATGGATTTTGAAGGAGCTCAAGGAGCGATACAACGCCATGAAGAAACCCGAGGCCCTGTGAGAGATTTTTTGTTCAATATCGCTATTAGTTCTGAACTTCCAGTACTCTGCTGTATCCAGATGTTTCCGTTTGCAAATACCATGATGTTTTCATCTAACAGGGGCTGATCACAATGTGTGATGGTGGATGTTAGCCTTGATCATCGCTTTTGATGCATTTGGTACTTGCGCCAGAGATTTGAAAGTAGGTTTCATTCTTTTTGCAAGGTAAGCTTGTTCATGTTGCTACTTTGATCGGTCGTTGGCTTGAACATGTTCATTCCCGTTGTTTCTTGGTGACCTGTCATTTGGAAACCATTGCCACGTGTCGAGTTCGGAAAACCTGCACTGGAGAGGCTCACGTTCCACATTCCCTGCCATGTTTTTCCTTGTTTCTGCCGGGGTTGTGTCAAAGTTAGGTGCTGGGTACTCGACATGGGGTGTGCTGACTTTGTCTTCATGTCTAGTCTCATCCACAGTGGTTTAGAGTTTCGTTTTTTGGTTCCTTTTGGTGTGTAGCCCTGCCTTACCCATATATTTCTTTCCCAGACTTTTTTTTGCTACAGTGCATTTTATTTAAGTTTCAACGTCGCGTAAGATCTTTGCTTGCAACATGGTCTCACAGCATCTTGGGTGCTGGTCAGCTTGTCTCCCAGCTTGTCTGCCAATGGGGTTTCCATTTGTCTCCCATCTTGCCCCCGGGCAGCCGAAAGGTTCTGTACTTCTCAAAATTGTTTCGAAAGGAATTTGGCAAACGGGTGGCCGATGGTGGCTGTTTCGGCCTTTGCGCCTATGGGTACTGTCCAGCTTCAACTTGTCACCTTGCCATGCGGCCTGTCAGGCGGTTCTGCGCTTGTGCATGAAGTCAGGCTTCTATGTTTTGTATCCTATGTCGCCTCGGACTCGTTCGGATGTGTGCAGGATTTTTCTGTGCTTTCCAATTCTCTTCTCTGGTTGTCGCATAGTTTTAGGTGTCAATTCTATGCTCAAAGTACCTACATAACCGAGGCGTGGTGTGAAAAGTGAAAGGTGATTTGGTCCTGCGCAATTTGATGCCTCAAAGCACCCAGCCGTTGTTTGCAATGTGCAGTAGCTTTTGTTGCTCAGGATATGAGGGTGTTTTGGGCAAAATACATACCAAAATACATACCGGTTCTTTTGTGTTCAGAATTGCGGGGAAGAAGGGGAAAGATGCATTGGTCTTTTCTATTCGGGATGTGCATCCCAGATTTATTTGAATCTTGTACAAGTAGTTCCCAGGCAAGCCGGGGGCGGAAGTTTCAAAATTGAAACGCTTCATAGCCTACAGAGCGGAACAAAGGCTGTGCCTATAGGTGACAGGCAAGCCTCCTGTGCTTCGCAGCAACAATCTCTTGACTTGTCTGTCTGATGCCATGTCTTGTGAATGTTGAATCATTTCTCATTTCATCTGATCTCATCGCATCGCAGCTTCTCTTGGAAATTGCTCATTGCATCCGACTTCCATCGAAATCTGAAAGTGGAAGATACGAGAACGAAGCTTTTGTGCGAGACTTCCTTCAAATTTTGAAGCGCAAAGTGTGAAAATAAAGCCCGAACTCGCAGTTCCAACGCGGGGCCGATCCGACCATGATCCGAGCATAGCCGGGACCGTCTCGCAACCGTCCGCCGGACAAGCTCCCCCATTCATCTTCCAAGGCACGTTCTGTCCTACAAAACACAGCATGTCGTGCATCCGCTCACTCTCAAAAACGCATCTCGTGCGAGACTTCCCTCAAAATCTGAAAGTGGAAGATGTGAAAACGAAGCTTTCGTGCGAGACTTCCTTCAAAAAGTGCCAGTTAAAGATGTGAAAACGACGCTTTTGTGCGAGACCTCCCTTAAAAAGTGTAAGTTGAAGATGTGTAAACGAAGCTTTGGTGTGCGATATGTGATAGAGGTGATATGTGATAGTGTTGATATTGTGATAGTGGTGATATTGTGATAGCGGTGGCTGTGCTGATAGTGGTGATTGTGAAAGTGGTGAAACTTTGATAGTGGCGCTACTGTGATAGTGGTGATGTTGTGATAGTGGTGGTATTGTGATAGTGGTGATATTGTGATAGTGGTGATATAGTGGTGATTTTGTGATAGTGGTGATATTGTGATAGTGGTGATATTGTGATGGTGGTGATGTTGGGATAGCCGTGATATTGTGATAGTGGTGAGATAGTGGTGATTTTGTGATAGTGGTGGTATTGTGAGAGTGGTGATATAGTGGTGATTCTGTGATAGTGGTGATGTTGTGATAGTGGTGATATTGTGATAGTGGTGATATTGTGATAGTGGTAGTATTGTGATAGCAGTGGTATTGTGATAGTGCTGACATACTGGTGATGTTGTGATATTGTGATAGTGGTGATATGGTGGTGATGTTGTGATAGCAGTGATACTGTGATGGTGTTGATGTTGTGATGGTGGTGGTATTGTGAAAGTGGTGATGTTGTGATAGTGGTGATATTGTGATAGTGGTGACATTGTGATAGCGGTGATTTTGTGATAGTGGTGATGTTGCAAAAATGGTGATATTGTGATAGCGGTGACTGTGCTGAGAGTGGTGATTGTGATAGTGGTGAAACTGTGATAGTGGTGCTACTGTGATAGTGGTGATTGCGATAGTGGTGATTGTGATAGTGGTGATTGTGATAGCGGTGAAACTGTGATCTGGGTGCTACGGTGATAGTGGTGATGTTGTGATAGTGGTGGTATTGTGATAGGGGTGATGTTGAGATAGCCGTGATATTGTGATAGTGGTGTGAGAGTGGTGATGTTGTGATAGTGGTGATATTGTGATGGTGGTGATGTTGTGATAGTGGCGAAATAGTGGTGATACGGTGATAGTGGTGATATACTGGTGATGTTGTGATATTGTGATAATGGTGATATGGTGGTGATGTTCTGATAGCAGTGATATTGTGATGGTGGTGATGTTGTGATAGTGGTGGTATTGTGATATTGGTGATCTTGTGATAGTGGTGATTTTGTGATAGTGGTGATATTGTGATAGTGGTGATGTTGTGATAGTGGTGATAGGTATTTCGAAAGATCCGTTACATGGAAGTTAGACTTTCAAACTTCCTTTGATTACTGTTGCAAAGGACATGGTGTATGAAAATGACACACAGACGCAATTGCAAACATAAGTGTCTTTACACACACACATATCCTTTTACACGCGCAGGCTTTTACACGAACACACGCGCACATACACACACACACAAACAGACCCATGCTCAAATTTTGACACACGGACGCGCTCACACACGGGCACGTTTACGCACCACGTTCTTTGCACAGTGTGTTGAATGGCCTCCCCAAAGTGTGGCATTTCGACGCGGCCAACTGGCGGACACCAGTCTCTCTAGCTGTACTGTCGAGGTGTTCCCGAAGGTACACCACCGACTGAGACAATGGTGTGGGTGAATGCTATGAAGGACGATCAACGTCTAGTTGCACCAAGCGCTTCGGTCGTGCTGACCGTTGCTGTCACCAACTCGGCATCCAACGGGGGCGAACGAGAAATAATTGCAAAACAGTGCCAGCAAAAAAAGAAACATTGAGATGGGTACGTGCAAGAACGGGTTCAAGACCTTGGCTGCAGCACAGATGTCGAAAAATGTCACTGACATGAAATCATTTTGCTGCTGTACGTGTAACGGCTTTATGGCTGGGTTTTGAAATGCGAACCGACCCGCTGGGGAGCTTCACCATTCATGTTGCATCCAATGAAACATGATTCGACCACGCATTGTTTTCGATCTGCCATAGTACAAGGACAGCAGGTCATGGACATGTCCGGTCGTCTTGTCGACAGCGTTTCAGAAGCCGAATTTGCGATACTTTTGACAATATCGCACTAGCTAGCTGCTTAAAGACAGTAATGTTTATATGCTACTTCACATGCAGTTCGTCCTTCTGCATTTCTCGTTGCAGCATCAGCTTCTTTGTCCATTAACCATTGAACTGCGGCAGCCATATTCTTTCGTGCTGCGATGTGCAAAGGCGTATCATGATTCTCAGTGCGGCAATTTGGATCGGCTCCTGCTTCAGCAACCACGAAACAAGATGATAGGCGCGATTGTTCATAGGAAGGAGAAAAGGTGATAATCCAGAGCATTTACAGTTTGTGTCTGCTGCAGCTTGAAAAGAGCTCTCGCACTGTATCTGTGAAATGGTGTTGAGTGCAAGCATCTCCCTGAACTGTGTGAAACAACAGGCTGAGTCCGCGGGCATCCAGTATATTTGGATTTGCAGTGGCAGCAAGCAAGGAGCGAACGCACTCAACATGCCCTATTCCAGCTGCACTATGTAGCGCCACGCGTCCCCAATATGAGGTGTCCACAAGGTCTGTTTGAGCTCCAGCTTCAAGGAGAAGATTGAGCATCTGCAATTTGTCACAAAGCGCAGCAACTTGCAGTAGTGAACATACGTCGGATCCAAGGATCGCATGAGCATCGCCTCAACAGTTTCGATATCTCCATGCTGCAAGGAATCGAACAGTTGTCTTCTCTCCACCAGGGTGCATTCTCTATGTTGCGGTTTCTGTAAAACCGTGCAATCTCTGCTGGCAGCGGATCAAGAATTGTTTGATCACTGCAGAAACGATCTCACATGAAATCGATTAATCCACTGCATGGCGCAGAACTTTTCGCTTCTTGTGCTTCGAGTTCTGCAGGGTCAAAGGTCGTTGCTGGTTCACCAGACAACTTCCATAGCACCCTCATGGAACTACGGATTTTGATTGAATGTTTGTCAGCATGCCAAAACATCCTACCAGGTGCATACATGCGTCGTCATGTGTCGCATCTGCCTCACGGTAAATTATCCCAGTCTATCGCCTATACTCATCCCCCTCCCCAAGGGTGGCATCACGGCAGCGGTTGCAACATGCACTGCAGTAAACAAGATGGTCATGTTCGTGCATGTGAAGCAAGTATACAGTATAAGCAGATTAGGTGGCGGACTCCTTCCGTCCCCATGGCATTTGCTGTCACACCTCAGCGT